AGGGGGCGTGGCACCTTCCATACAAACCGAATTTTCCACACTGCATATCTCTGAAAGTGTTCATGGTAGAGTACTAGAGCTTGATATGAAGATATATGTAATCAATCACATGGTCATGAAGAAAAATTGGGGCTATTAGAAAAAGGGGCGTGGCACATGCTATACAAACCGAATATTTCATTCTGCATATCAAGAAAAATGTTCATGGAAGAGGACTCGAACATGGTAAGGAGATAAATGAAAGCAACCGCGTCACTCATGGAGAAAAATTGCGGTTATTGGATAAGGGCGCGTGGCACCTCCCATACAAACCGAATTTTTCATACTGCATACCTCTGGCAGTGTTCACCTTATACTAGGTTCACATATAAGTAGATTATCCTCATTTTCGAGCTTAACACCCTAATCTGTAATTATAAAATAATCTCAGATTAAACCGATAACTTTTCGGTGTCGATCCTAGTTTTATCGATTGATTTTGCAAAAAAGAGGAGAAATGCCAAATGTAAAAGTAAACAAAAATGTACGCTAGCAAGGAAAAGAGGTTTGTAAAGGTATTTTTAATAAAATGTTAAGTAAAAATATATTTATATTGCTTATTATAGCATAAAAACGTGATCACGATGGCACAGAAAAGAAACATAACTTTTCCTTGAGATGTGAGAATAATAAGCACAACAAATTTGACGGCTAATAATCTGAGATTTGCCTATGTAAACGGGGTGATTAAAAAAAGAGCTTTGATTGTGATAATATTGATATGTGAACATAGTTTTAGAGTACTGGAATTTGGCGATTAGGGTGTCCCTATCCTAAAACAATTGTCTCAATTTTTTTATTTTAGAATTTTTAGTAAATTTGTATGAAGAATTTAATATATAAAAATATATATAATCAATCGCATAGTCATGAAGAAAAATTGGGGCTATTGGAAAAAGGGCGTGCACCTCATACAAACCGGATTTTTCATACTGCATATTTCTGGAAGTGTTCATGTTAGAGTACTCGAACATGGTATGGAGATAATATGAAATCAATCCCATACTCCTAGAGAAAAGTGCGGCTATTTTATAAGGGGGCGTGGCGCCATTCAAACGCACGGAAACTATTACGTATCTTTGTATGCATATAAAATTTTTCTAGGTTATTTAAAATGGCAATGGAAATATGCCTTCTGATAACCACCAAACCGTTATATTAGAAGATAAATGCGCAACTGAGAATCATGAACGTGAACTGTTGGTGAAAATGTTGGAAAATGTTTCAATACAAAAAATTAATTTTGGGCGGGACGAAGTTCGCCGGGCCTGCTAGTCTTCTAATATTATGGTTTGGTGGTTGTCAGAAGGCATATTTCGATACTCGGTACCGAAACATTTAGGTTTCGAATAAAAGCGCACATAGGCCAAAAATATGGAAAAAACGGTTCAGGGGAGACTCGCCTATCAAAACCCGAATGTAGGAGCCAGTAGAGCTTTTAATACTGATTCAAAAGAAAGATGTATATAGGTCGGTTCGAGGCCATAATACAGAAAACTCTTACTTGTTTGAATCATTTTTGTTCCAGCTGAATCGGGCGATATCATTTTTGTAGGCAGACTCTGTAACCAGTTAGCGACATATTCTGTAACCAGTTAGCGACAATTTTCGAATAGGTATCGGTTTTGTTGACGTATGATATGAAATATTTTTACGTCAACAAGTGCGATATCGATCCGAAACTTGTCGCTAACTGATTACAGAATCTCCCCCCTGAAAGGCTTCTTCCTCCGTCAAAGTATGTCTCTTGAACCTTGGATCGACTAGGGTTAAAACTGATAAAATAACATTTCTCTGTTGCGATAAGTTCAAATGTTTTAGCCGATATCATATAAATTAGTAATGAACGTTTTTTCTAAACTTGAAATTCATATAATGGCGAAGGTTTAATGTAAAAAATCAGTAGCGGGTACCGATAGGGAAGTATTGGGTACCGAAACCTTTTTTAAGTGTTGGGTACCGACAATTCAGCACATCACTAGACAGCAGTTTTATTTGCCGCTCTCAAGTAGGGTTGCCAGACGTACTGCTTTTGGGAGTAAACGTACTCCTTTTTATTGTAATGTACTCCCTTGTACTCCCAAAAAAAAATATCTGGAAATGTACTCCTTCCTTAGTTTTGTACTTCTTTTGTACTCCTTTTTCCAGCTATAAATATTTTATCATATACAGAGCGTAAAATAATAACTGTTGCACAGGTTTTATTGAAAAATAAAAGGGTACTTTATAGATTTTGCGAAAAAGGTAGTTTATTGTTAATTATCCTCAGATTTTACTTAAACTTTTTTAATAAGTTTTTAAATTTTAACCTTCATTCGCGTTTACCAGCGGTAAACACTTTGAGAGAAAAGCTCAAGCGGCACGCAAGTCTTCGTCGGTTACTTTATTACATATCATCACTAGACACGAATAAAGGCGCGAGCTCAAAAAATGACGACGAAAAAAGACGCATAAAAAAACTTCAGCATCAAAGACTCTTAACATACTTCGCCGAAGTTTTTCATAAGCATCTTTTTTCGCAAAATTTTTTTACGCGCCTTTTTTCGCCGTCAAAACACTAGCGCGCCTTTATTCGTGTGTAGTGACGATATCTTCTGTAACCATAGGCTAATTTCCTCCATTTGGCTCCTTTATACTCCGTCTTTTGTCCAACATAAGGCCTCATACCCAGCAATCGAAAAGACTCGGAACTGGTGACTAGGAGGCCATTCATTCGACCAACCCTATACTTATACAGTTTTCTTTTTTTTATACAAAATCTAAGAAAAAATACAGCTGAAAAAAGCATGTACTTATCTCCCAAAGCTGGCAAATGGAAATAAGGATTAAAGTTTTAAAACTAATAAATAAAATTAAAGTAAACTATTTATAAAGTTTGCAAAAAATACTTTTTTTCGCAAAGTCTTTAAAGGACTCTTTTATTTTTCGAAAAATCTTTGCGACAGTTATTATTTTACGCCCTGTACTTTGCCATTCATATTGTGGCAAACACTACTTAGTAAGTAAAGTTAAGTTTTCTAGCATTTCTAAAGTTTTTCTAGCATTTTGTTAAGAATTGTTTTTGTTTTTTGTAATTCACAACTGCAATATCGTGAACGTAATCTTCCACAAACCCGGCTTTGACTCATATAGTGCAAGAAATTTCCGCCAAAATACTTTTTACTTAGAAAATTGAGTTAATTTCACCACTCACGACACCAGTATGCTGGTACAATCACACCACAAGAACATACACGGTCAATCGACTTGATGGGTCGTTTAACAAATTTAGCATATTAAGGCCCGTGAACTCATCTATTTTAAACTATAGTTAAATCGTTAACAGATAAGTTAACAGCCCCAACACTTTTAGAGTATGTATGGATAAAAGCGTAAGGAGCATACAATACATATATGTATATATAGCAGTCTTTCTTAGTTTAAAAATTCATCTCTTACATAAATGCAAAAAAAAAGCAAATTAAGCATATACAACTTTTTCATGCCAAGTATAAATAAATACTAAAAAAGGCTAAAAAAAAGGGCTAGGGGCAATTTTAAATTTATGTGGCCAAAAAAAGTATGTGGCAGCAAAATCTAGCCACCAAAGGGCTGAAACGGCAACGCTGAATATGAGTACTCATACGATACTCAGCTGTCTTGTAGGGTATCATGTATGTGTGTATGTATTGTCGCCGCTGTGCATGCTTTGTATACATATACTTTCTTAATTATATATGAAAAAGCATCTGAGATGTGCAAAACGCCATCCGTGCAGCGAAAAATTGCTTCATTTTAATGCGGGCGTATTTAAATTGAATATTTTCACTATACGAAGTGTATGTATAGGGGCACATTAGATTTTGAACACTTTTCATTTGATTTAAATACGAACAGTTTTAAACGGTAATCAAATAAAAAAAATTTCATTTTTACAACGCGTTTTTTCCTCAGTGTATATTTACATATATTTTGTTTAAACTAAAGTAGCCTTTTCTATTCAAGTAAAGATGTTCATCAATTTGGGGCTTTATAATTTTTAGGTGCGTTCCGTCTATGCAGCCCGTAATGCCAGGAATTTTATATTTGTTATAAAAATAATCTTTATTTCACCGCTTTTCATTGGAATTCACAGAAACTTTCACCCAACGACTGCAAACGCGATATTCCAAAACAGCCAACATCTTTGCTAAAACAAGCGATACCGTACTACTTGCTAAACTCACACTTGATCCAGTTCCGACCGATCTGTGTTTTTGTTTTTATTTTTACCTTTGCCTTTATCCTTTTCTTTATCTATGTACGTAGTCTTTCATTCTTGTATTGGTCTTTTTCTAAGTGTTTTTCTTTAACCTTTTATTAGCAAGTTTTTTTTTAATTAATAGCATGTGCATACACTCAACAATCACCTGTTTCATTTGGCACGCAAGTCTTTTTCAGGTGTTTTTTTTTCTTAGGCTTTGTATAAAAAAGTACAAAAAAGAAAAAAACTGTATAAGGTTGGTCAAATGAATGGCCGTCCTAGTAACCAGTTCCGAGTCTATTCGATTTTTGAGTACGAGGCCTTAGGTTGGACAGAAGGGGGAGCATAAGGGACTCAAAATGGAGAAAATTAGCCTATGGTTACAGAAGATATGGAATAAATTAACTGACGAAGACCTGCGTGCCAAATGAACTTTTCTCTCAAAGTTTACACTGCTGGCAAATGTAAATAAGGATTAAAATTTAAAAACTAATTAATACAACTAAAGTAAAATCTGTGGAAAATTAACAAAAAAAACATTTTTTTCGCAAAATCTATAAAGGACCCTTATATTTCTCAAAAAAACCTGGGTAACAGTTATTCGTCGCCACGCTGTACACTTGCTTTCAAGCAACAGTTAACTCTCTAAATCATTAGATAAGTACCTGCAGCGTCGGAAGTATACTAGTCAACCTCTATCCAAATTTAAACATGAAACTGTTAAGATTCCACGACGTACCTGACCATTGACACCCTTATCCTCATCAGTGGCAACCACTTTTATCACCGGACTCCCGTTGGGTGCACCCTCTTCCACTTTGGGGTAATAAGTCCCGCAATCTTTAAACACCGGCTTGTTGTCATTTACATCGGTGATGAAGACTACAACGACTGCAGTTGAAGTGTGTATGGTGTGATCACCATTAACACAGCACGAGCCATCATCCATGGCAGTCACATTTAACTCATACTTGTCACGGTCTAGTGAAATGGCTTTGTTGTGCAATCGTATCACACCCGTTATATCCTCTATAACGAACTGTCCAGAGGAGGTGCCTCCTCCAACAAAACCGAACCGCACATTATCGCCATCTTTATCGGAAGCCACAACAGTTGTGACGAGCGTATTTGGTCCAGCATTTTCATCCACATTCGGTGTATAGACCTGTTGTGAAAACTTGGGCTCTTCGTCATTTTTATTTTTTGTGTAGACGCGTACTGTCGCTGTACCGGATTTAGACGGTTCACCTTTATCTTTAGCTGTCACAATGAATTCGTAGTAGGCATTGTTGTTATCGGCGTCGAGTTGTTTATTATTGACTATTATGCCATTTGAGTCGACAGCAAAGTGATCGTCAGAAACGAGATATTCAATTTCAGCATTTGCTCCAGAATCAGAATCCATTGCTTTGACGCGCAGGATGCTCGTGCCGAGTGGAATGTCTTCGTCAACATTGTGCGCTTGATAATCAGGCAGCTCGAATTTAGGTGCATTGTCGTTGACGTCAGTGACACGGATGGTGAGCTAAAATGAAAAAGGACCAAAATTAAGCCACGTTGTAGTAGTTAGAAACTAAATATAATAAGAACTTATGGTCAAATATTTTCCGATTACACTGTTCTATCATACATTTGGAATTTTCTTTTTAATCATTTTTGATGTCGAGATGCTTCCTTAAAAATATGAGTAAACATTTAAAAAAGTCTACGTGCGGGCGGAAATAGGGTTGCCAGATTTTTTTATGCGCGAAATCGGTACATTAGAATTTTTCATGCTAAAAAAATCAGTACTTTTCAGTATATTTTTATTCAAATNTGAAATCGGACTAAAATAACGGCCGCTTCTCATATAACGGTAAATTTCAGAAATGCTTGAAACTTCAATATTTCGAAATTGAAGGACGCTAATTTACTCAAAATTGATACACCCCGGCTTACCATCTAGCGGAAGGTTTCGGAAAGGTGAAAAAACATATTTAATACTTGCGCCGGGTATTTAAAGTTCGGCTCCGCCCGAACTTAGACTTTCTTACTTGTTTCAATTTAAAATTACTTCAAATATGCAGTTCACTTTAAAAAAAATTAATTAGAAGCCGGTTTCTTTCTTTGTGCCAGGAAGAAAACTTTATACTTAAGATCCTCTCAGTTGCTTCGTTTTAGTGTGGTAGTGAAAAAAAAAACAAAATTACATATTTTTTCAAACTGAGAAAAAGTACCACTATTTAAGGACTTCATCTATAATTCCTCATGGCTTAAATTAATTTTTTCAACTACGCAAAAACTTTTAAATGCTAAGAGTTCGCTAATAAGAGTATCTAACTCTATATCTTGTATGCAAAACTCTTTTACAATGTGAGTAAATTGTGAAAAAAAGAATTGTAAGTTATAGGCAAAAGCCATTCGAATATTCAAATTTGTTGCTATTAAACTGAAAGTTATTTTCGCGATAACTAGCAACACCCGACAAAAAAACGTCAGTTTTCTTTTTAGATAATTAAACCATATCCATCAGCTGTCGTCGCGTGCGGATGTGTTTCGATTTTCGCTCTAATTTATTATAGTTTTTCTGCTGTCATAAGTGCATAACATGCATATATTTATAAAAGAGGCAAGACTTTTAAATTGCTCAAGTAATGATGAGTGATGAACTCAATTTATAACTATTGAGATAGTGACTCTATTTGGAAGTTTGGATTCATTTTAATAATTGCATCAAAATGCCGTGCCTTTTAAAGTGGAAAAATCGCAGCCAAAAGTACAAAAAGTACAATGCGCAAAGTGCAAAGAACTTTATCACCTAAAATGTGTAAACATTATGCCGGCCGATGTGGAGTTTTTGCTCTCGTCGAATAAATCGTATTTATGCAATGACTGCTCTACTGATCGGCGAAACTCTCTTCGTTCTCCGCCGCCCTCTGTTGCTCTGGAGAATAGTGAGAATAGTGTTATTGCTGTCTGCCCTAGTAGTTTAACTACACGGAATGACCAAATCGACGATCAAAGTAGCTGTTTGAGTAGCTTGTCACAGCAAACAATAATGTCAACCTTCGGCTCTCCATCCCAGCTAACCACAAATGAAGGTGTGCATATGCATAGTGCTAATATAAATGAGCAGCTAATGTTGCAATCAGTGTTGGGTGAAATTGCAGCTCTTAGAGCAGAAAATAGCCGTATTGTTGCTATGGTTAGTGAGTTACGTGAAGACAATAAACAACTCATAACTAAAACAATGTCAATGCAAGCTGATCTTCACCTGTTGCAGTCTAATCTTCGCCAATATGACATGGTTTCTACTGTCACTACTCTCACTGCTGAAATTAAAGCTATGCGTGAAAATGCTTGTAACTGCGTGCATAACAAAAAGGCAGGTAGCAAACCTAAGTCTTCGGTTATCGCTAATTCTGCCATTAATGCTGCTTCGCCTTCCGCTGTGGGAGTCAGCGTCAACTCCTCTCGTAAATTGGTCGATACCAACACTCCGTCTCCCTCGCTTGCTGATGCCGCTGTTGGTGCTGTAAATGAGAATGGTTCTGCTGACTTTGCCGCTTCAACCTCCGCTCACGTCAACCCCTCTCGATCATCGGATGATTCTAATCGTGCTGTAAATGGCAATGGGCCATTGGTTGAGAATGATTATGCTGACTTCGCTGCTTCATCCTCTGATGTCGGAGTTAACGCCAATTCTTCTCGTTCATCGGCTGAGTCGAACGCTGCCTACGTCTCGTTCGCTGCTGCTGCTGCGAACAACACAGCGAGTGTTTTTCCACAATCTGATTCTCAGCCTCCTTCACAGTGGTCTATTTTTAAAAATAAAAAGCCAAAAAAACATAATAAGGCATCGGATGTGGTCTTAGGTGTTAACAGTAGCACGGAACTGGATGTAGTGACCATGAACCAATGGATTCACCTTTCTTCTTTTAAACCAACGGTTTCCGAGGATGATATAATTTCATATGTTGCTAAAAACTATACTATCGACAAATCTCTTATTTCTTACTTTAAACTTATTAAGAAAAATGCAGATATTAACTCTTTTTAAGAGAACTAATTTTAAGCTTGGGGTTGCGCCATCTCTTATTGACCAGGTCTTGAATCCTGCGCTGTGGCCTGCGAATGTGAAGATTCGACCGTTTCAGAATTTTCAAAAGGGCGATCCTCTCAAAAACAAAATGTAGCGTTATCCAAAAAATTTACTTTATTCAATGACTTAAAAATTCACTTTCAGAACATGGGTGGCATTCGCACCAAGTCTGAAAGCATACGTACACAGAGTGCCCATTTGGACTTTGACATCATAATTTTTGTTGAGACATGGTTAAACTCTAATTTTTACGATGAAGAATTTTTCGATTCAAATCATTATAACGTCTTTCGTAAATATCGCGATGCTAGTAGAACGGGGTGTTCATTGGGTGGAGGTGTTCTAATTGCCGTCCAGCGTTCGTTAAACGCATTTCAAATAGAAATATCAAATGAGGACCCTATTCTCGAGCAACGGTGTGTTTGTGTCAAAAGTTCTTCTGGTTTTGACGATTTTTATCTAGTAGCCTCTTACGTTCCGCCAAGTAGCAGTTTCGAAATCTATAAAGCTCACACGGACAATATTGTCTCCCTTGCTCAAAATAAAGTTAATAATAATCATCTCTGCGTGTTTGGCGATTTTAATCTTCCAAACATTATATGGTCAAAACATTTTTCCAACTTTGGGCTAATACCAACCAATATTACAACTTCCCTTGAATCATATTTTATTGATAATCTCTTAAGTTTAGATTTAGTTAAAATTAATTTTTTTGAAAACAAACTTAAAATAATTCTTGATCTCATTTTCGTTTCTGGCAACTTTGATTCTACTATATCTCAATGTCTTTTTCCCTTCTCTCCTGTTGACAAAAACCATGTTTCAAAGCTGCTTAGAGTCGAATTTTATGCATTTTCCGTCAACAAACCGGCCAACAGAATTGCCTTTAATTACTCTTCCTGTGACTTCTCTAGGCTTAATGATCTGTTATGTGCTATTAATTGGCATGACATGCTTTCTGGCTTAAATGTCACTGACTGCTTTAATGCATTTAAATCGACACTGTTGAATATATGTTTCTCTAATATTCCGCAAATAAAAAAGCGGTGCTATAAGTTCCCATGGTATACACCTAAATTAAAGAAACTTAAAAATCTGCGTAACAAATTCTACAAAAAGTATATAAAAACTAAGAACCAAGAATTCCGCATCAAATATCAGTGTTATTTAAAAGAATTTAATTGCCTAAACAAATTTCTTTACCGTAATTACATACTTAGTGTTGAAAATAATATTAAATCGAGTCCTAAGGCTTTTTGGCAATTCATTAAATCCAACAAGTCATGTGGCGAGCTCTCCGTGTGAGGTTTCCAATTTATTTGCCGAGTTTTTCCAATCTAACTTTGTCCGAGACAATATAGACTCCTATAATCTTCCCGAATGTAATCAGTTTTCTTCTCTAAATTTTGGTAATTTGAATCTATCCTCTGAGGACCTATCAGAAGGAATTTTAGCTTTGAAGCCCTCTACTCAGACAGACGTGGACAGCCTCTCGGTAATTTTATTCAAAAAATGTCCCGCTATAGTCGCTCTACTAAAAATAATTTTTAATNTATTGATAATCTCTTAAGTTTAGATTTAGTTAAAATTAATTATTTTGAAAACAAACTTAAAATAATTCTTGATCTCATTTTCGTTTCTGGCAACTTTGATTCTACTATATCTCAATGTCTTTTTCCCTTCTCTCCTGTTGACAAAAACCATGTTTCAAAGCTGCTTAGAGTCGAATTTTATGCATTTTCCGTCAACAAACCGGCCAACAGAATTGCCTTTAATTACTCTTCCTGTGACTTCTCTAGGCTTAATGATCTGTTATGTGCTATTAATTGGCA